AAACAAACTACTGTAACTCAGGCTGGATTTAGGATCTTGTACGTCTTACTAGTATATTTGCTTCTTTCTTTCTTTCTACTATAAAAGTTGCTAAAGTTGCATTTTCGTGGATCTGTGGATCCCGGCTCCAAGGGACCGTCTATCTGGAGCCCCGGTGACAGGGGACCCCCCCCCCCCAGGCTGGCTCGGTTTGGGGTTTGGAAATCAAGACGGTGGCTCCGTGTGGCCCAGACAAGACACCAATGAGCCTGCGGGCGGAGGGAAGGAACACGGGAGTCTTCCCTTCAGCCGGCACTTATCGAGCGCCTAGTGTGTGCCGCGCAGCCTGGGCTGGAGCCCGCGCCAAGCAAGGTCCAGCAGGTTAGATGAATAAAGATGTTTGGAAACAAGTGCTCGGATGAAGATAAGACGGGTGACAGGCTGGGGGGCCCCCGTGACCCTGCCAGGTCAGGGACGGACCCTCCAAGGAGCTGAGGCCCGCTCGGGATAGGGCGCAGGCCTCCGGGCGCCCGGGCCGGGGCCTCAGGGAGGGCGGCCACGGAGCAAGGCCCAGGAGGAGGAGCACCACGGGGAGGAGGCCGCAGGGGGTCTGGGTGAATTCTCAAGAGGGTGCCCCCACCCAGCCCAGCGTGGGGAGGCGCCTCCCAAACCCACAGGGGCCCCGCAACACAGGCTGGCCCAGAAACCTTCCAGGACCTGTGTCTCTGGACCCATTTCCCGGCTTGAGAAACAGCAGGAAGCGGAATCCGCGGCCGGTGGGGGACCTGGGCCTGCTGCCCACCCCGTGGGCCCCCAGGCTGCGCCTGAGGTCCCCCTCCCTCCCTCCTGCAGCTAAAAATAGGATCCCTTTGGCTGGAGGCAGCTGGGAATCCCGCAGCCCCTCACCCTCTGGGCTGGGCACCCTAGGGAAGCCCAGGCAGCAGTTTTCCCCTGGCGGTGGGGGGGGGGCAGCACCCCACCTGCCCCTGCGGGTACCCCCCCCTTCTGAACAGAAGGAGGTATAATCCTCAGAACCACGCCACAGGGACTCCTTTCACAGGAGGGAAACTGAGGCACGAAGACCCCCGCCCTCCACGGCTCTAACGGGGGTGGGGCAGGGGGTGCTTTCAGACCCGTTTGGCTCTTCCGAGGGGAAGAGGCTTTCCTGCTCTTTGCAGAGGAGGGCCTGGGGCCGCGACCCTCTAGGGCCATCTCACCTGGGTCTCTCCAAACTTCGCCTCCCGGGGCAGGTGTCTGCCCCTCCCCCTGGGGGGTGGGGGCGGCGAGGCCCGCAGCTGGGGCTGGGTGTTTAATCGCCTACAGGTGGAGGCTCCGCCACCTGCGTGCATTAGGCTACTGAGGCCCTGGGGCTGGTGGGCAGGACTGCGGCCTGCCGGGTGGGGGAGCCGCCCCGCACCCATCCCCCTGGCTTGGGAATCCCCACCCCCCACCCCCACCCCCACCCCCACCCCCCAGAGCAGGAAACCTGCAATTTGCGGGGAGGCTGGATGTCCAGCAAAGGTGTCAGCGCCTCAGGGCACTGGGAGGGGGCTGCGCTCGAGCTCCACCCCGAGGACCCGGGAGAGGTGCCCCCCATGCGGCTCCCCTTCGCCCCCCATCTGCGCTGGAGCCTGCGCCCCTGCACTGGGCCCCCAGGGAGCGCTCGGGGCCTCGGGGCCCCCCAGCAGGGGCGCGCCCCACTCTGTGCCTCAGCCTTCCTGTCTTTGAAATGGGGGCGTGAAGAGCCGTGGGCACCCGGACGGCCACCGCAGCTCGGAAGAGGACCGTTCGTATTACTACCAGGGACATCAGGTGACCTCTCCTTGGGGAGGGGTGACAGTCCCGTGGGGGGTCGGGGTCATCGCGATTTCACTGGGAATCTTCCCGGGCGCAGCACGCACTCCGCCGCCCTGACCCCCCCCCCGCTCCCCCCTCCCGCAGCCATCCCCTCCCAAGGCCCCCCCCCCACCTACAGCGCCCCCGTCGCACGGCCCTGGCCGCCCTCCCGATCCCCGGGCCTGCGCCCATTTCCCGTCCCAGTAGCTCGAGTCATTACCGGGTGTTTAATCCCCATTTTACAGATGTGGCAACCGAGGCTGCGCTGGGGGTGGGGCGGGTGGAGGGCTAAGTCGCTAGAGCCCCGCGGCTAGAGTAGGGCACAGGGTTCAACTCCGAGCTCGGCAAGGCCAGGCCCGTCCTCGGTGGCGGGTGAGGCGGCGGAGGGGTCCCCCACCCGGCCGGGTCCCTCCAGCCCTCCCGCGCCGAGGGCCGCCCCCTCCCTCCCTTCCCCTCCCCTCCCCTCCCCCTCGGACGCTCCCTGCCGGCCCCTGTGCGCTCGCGGCCTCGGCGCGCACTTTGCCCACCGTCCCTAGGCAGGGGGCGGGGCCTCCCCGTCGCTGTTCCCCTTCCCTTTTTATTATTTATTATCACTTAAAGGGGCCGTGACCCGAAGTTTTCTGGCCACCCTCTCCCCCTCCCCAAGACCCGGGGCTGGCGGCGCGGCCTCGGACCGAGCGCGGGGGGCGAGGGGGCGTCCGGGAAGGGGGAGGGGGCCTCGCGAGACCCCTCCCCGCGTCCCGGGCCGCGGCGCTGAATCACCGGCGAGGTATTTGCATCTGAGAGCGATTTGTCACCCGGTGATTTGTCTGCGGGGCGGTGAGCGCGCGGGGGGAGGGGCGGGGCGGGGGAGGCCGCGCGCGGGAGACTCTTACCAATCGGGTCGGATGGGGGTGTAGACGCGGACTCGGCTGGCGGCTCGGTGAGTCGGCGCGCGGCACAAACCCGGCGGAGCGCGGCTCGGGCCCGGCCGGAGGCCAGCGCGGTCGCGGCGGGGCAGGGCAGGGCAGGGCGGGAGGCCGGGCGCGGGGCAGGCGCCCCCCGAGCGGGCCCCGCGGGGTGAGGCCCGGGGCGCGGGGGCCGGGGGCGGCGGGCGAGCGGGGGCCGTGCGCCGGGGAGCCCACCCGGGGTCTCCGAAGTTGGGCAGGGCGCGCGGGGGGGCGGCCCCCGCGGCTCGGGGTCGGGGTCGGGGTCGGGGTCGGGGTCGGGGTCGGGGTGGCCCTCCAGGCGCCCCCCTCGAGACCCCTCCCGGCTCCGCGGGGCGCGGGGGCGCCGGGGGTCGCGGGCGCGCGCGGGCCCCCCCTGGGGCGGCAGGAAGTGGCCCCGTGCGCGGGGGCTGCGCCCCGGTCCTCGTGCGCCTCGGCCCGCGGGGTCCCGCGGGGTCCCCGGGGTCCCCGGGGTCCCCAGGGCGCGGGGTGGGGGCAGGGCTGGGGCGCCCTCCCCGCGCGCACGGCGGAGCCAGGAAGTCCCCCCGGAGCGGACCCGCCGCCCGCGCCCGCGCCCGCGCCCGCGCCCGGTGCTGCGGGGATCCCCGGAGACCCCCCGCGCCCCGGTGCCCCCCGGACACAAAAGCGGGCGCAGGAAGCGCGGGGAGCGCTTTGCCAACCCCAACGCTCGGCGTCCGACCCGGGGCGGCGGATTTGCCAATAACCTTCCGTTTTGAGTCGCCGGCCGGACGGGCGCCCCCCCACCCCCCACCCCCACCCCCCCACCCCATGCAAATCGGTCGCTTTCCAAGAAGCCTTTGAAATCCGGGCTGGGGTTTTTGTCGTCTTATTTCTTCTCTTTCTTCGGTTTTTCTTTTCTCACTTCCTCCGGGCCGCCCCCTCCCGCCCCCCAGCCCCCTGCCCAGCGCGCTGCCCCACCCCACCCCCTTCCCTCCCCGAGTGAGGGGCCCCTTTCGCCACCCGCGGGCCCCAGCCTTGCACAACTCTTTAAATAACCGTGTTTTGCAAGGCCCCGGCCGAGCGGGTGACCTCTCTCCGGGAGGCACTGGGGGGAGGGTGTGGCCCCGGGGCCCTCTGGCCCCTGGCGGTCCCGGCGACCACCCGGCACCCCCCACCGCTGCCTGCTCCCTGCCCGGGAATGCCTCTCCCTTGGGGTTGTCATAAAGCGGGGGTAGGGGCCGAGGACAAAGGGCTCCTGGGGGAGGGGTCTGGAGGGGGGTGGGCGTCGCCAGCTTGGGGTTAACGGCGGCCTGGGGGCCCCAGGCTGGGCCCAGGGGAGCTCTGGGGTTCCCACCTGCCCCCTCCGCCAGCCCCAACGTGGAGGCCTGCCCTGCGCCCCTCCCCCACCGGGCGACCCGGAAGGGTCATTAAACCCAGCAGGCCTGGGGGTGGGAGGCTGGGGGGGGAGTGGCTTCCTCTGGCCTCTTCCTTCTGCCCCCCAAAGGGGAGGGGGGGCGAGGCCTGGAGCGTTTCCGTGCAGAGGGGGGGCTCGTCTTGAAGTTGTCAAATGTGGGGGAGGGGCAGTGGCCCAGACTGGACGGTGGGCCTGAAATGTCCCCTCAGCACTGCTTGGGGCGGGCGGGGGGTGACCCCCGTCCTGGGAGGGAGGGGAGGCAGGGTGGGGGGCTGGGTGCTGCCCCGCTGCCTCTGAGGACCGACTGCATGGTCACCCCCCAGCGCTGTGGGCCCGGAGAGGGTCTTTGTACCCTGAGAGCCCTGCCTCTGCTGGACACCGGGGTCCTCCCGGGACGTGTCCCACCCCCGACTTCCCACAGGGGCTGCCCCCCTGCCCCCCTGCCCCCCTGCCCTTCCAGCCATCCAGATGGAAGCCCCCGGGGTGGTGGGGTCTGGGGAGAAGGCAGCTCCTGGGGCTCTGCCTGGGGAGGTGGGGGGCCCTATGCTGAAGGCTCCCCTGAGGGGGGTCAGTGTCGGCTCAGGGGGTCACCGTGGGGGTCAGGAGGGTGGCCAGCCTGCTGATGGGGCGTCCACCAGCTACTCCTGGGGTGTGGGTTCCTGTCTGGCCCCAGCAGTAGCTGGGGTCCCTTTGCTGGGTTGGGGCAGCTCCTGCCCCCCCCCCCCCCCCCGCATCCCCGTGTCCCATCCCCTTTCCCTGTGATGTGCCATCTGGGGTGTCACCGCCAGGCCTGTTGGGTTCCGCCCGGTTTACTTTACTGTTTTACTGGCGGCCTGGGCGGGTGGGGGTGTGGCCTGGCCTGGGCTGGGGGGGCGGGACGCGTCCTTCTGTCCTGGTGGGGCTCTGCTGCGCCTGAGACCCTGGCCCTCAGGGTTGGTGGTGCTCTGAGGGGACCCCAGGCTGGGGCACAGCTCCTGCACTCTGGGATGTTGGGCCCAGGGGGGTCCCCAGGGGCAGAGGTCACGTGCGGAGGGGAGTGAGGCCGCGACGCCTCCCACGCCTCCCAGGCCCCAGTTCCCATCGCAGCCCGGCCTGGAACCCGCTCTGTGCGTCGGCCTCTGACGGCCCATCTGTGGGGCTCAGTTTTTCCTATGTGTAGCATGGGGACCGCCCGGCGCCCCCGTCCCTATGGGGACACGGTGCCTGCCTTTGCCGTCACAGGCTTGCTTCACCCCTGCTTGAGCACAGGGGGGTGGGCAGGGTCAGGACCCCATCTCCCTTTGGGGCAAAGGCCCAGAGAGGTTGAGGCGCAGGGGTGAGCAGGGTTAGCTGAGGACCTGGATGTGGGGGGGCTGGAGGGGTCGGTGCAGGGCTGCGGCAGGGGGGTGCAAGCAGCGCCTGGAACTCAGAACCAGAACCCAGAACCCACCTGGTGGCTGGCTGCAGCCAATCGGAGGCCGGGCGCCCGGGCCCCCTGCTCTATGAAGCAACAATGCAGGGTCTCCGGGGGTGTGGGCAGCCCTGCTGCTCGTCTGGGTCGGGACCCCTGGGAGCTCAGGGCAGGCTGACCGCGCTGTGGGGCCTGCTGGAGGGCAGACGGAGGGGGCGGATGGGGACAGCACCGGCTCCCGCCTCCGGGGAGGTGTCCAGGTTTGCGCCCCGACGGCAGTGGATGGGAGGGATTTCCCAGAGGCCTCCGTGGGCTGCGCCCCACAGGGAGCCGGGCGGGGTCTGACGGTGTCTCCCGCTGCCCGCAGGCTTCGGCACCCCCGTGGATGAGCCCGCCCGCCGCTGCGAGCCGGCGCCTGGCGTGAGGAGGCCGCACCGCTGGCATGCCCTCGGCCTGAGCCCAGCGCCGCCGCCCCCCGCCACCCTGCACCGGCCCGGCTCCCCTGAGGCCCCCACGCTGCAGTGCGGCCGGGCCCCCTCCCCGCAGGGGCCGCCCCCGCCGCCCACGTCTGGTGCCCGGGGCGGCCCGGCCCGCAGGGCCATGAAGCTGCAGGCCGTGATGGAGACGCTCCTGCAGCGGCAGCAGCGGGCCCGCCAGGAGCTGGAGGCCCGGCAGCCCCCGGCGCCCCCGCCGCCCGCGCCCGCCGAGCTCCCCGCCGGCCCCCCGGCCCGCCCCAGGGCTGCCCCGGACGAGGACAGGGAGCCGGAGAAGGCCCGGATGCAGCGGGCCCAGATGGCCGCCCTGGCCGCGATGCGGGCGGCCGCCGCGGGCCTCGGACCGGCGCCAAGCCCCGGCGGCTCGGAGGACGGGCCCCCCAGCCTGGAGGACGAGGACGCGGCCCGGGAAGGCGCTCCGGGCTCACCGGCCCCCGCCGGCCGAGGGAGGGAGGCGCCGGGACACGGCGACGGCGACGGGCACTTTGAGGACATGGGCTCCGACGGTGACCTGTGAGTCGGGGTCCGTAGGGGGCGGCTGTGGGCGCTGGGCGCGGCCGAGACACCACCCTCCCGAGGGCCGCGGAGCAGCACGGCCCCTTAGAACTTTCTAGAGGGTGGTGGGCAGGCGAGGGGGCGGTCTGGGTTTCTGGCTTCATTCCATCCTGACTTAGTGGACGGCCAGGCGTGGCCAGGAGCCCCGGTGCCCGGCGGTCCCGGGGAGCCTGCAGGGTGGGCGCTGGCCGGCTCACTGCTGGGCCTCGGGCTGAGAGCTGGCGGGACCCCAGCGGGGTGGTCCTGGGAGGACGTTTAGCGAGCAGAGAAGCAGGCGGTTGTGGGTTGTGATGGAGAAACAGAGGGGTCTGCATGTGTGGGGGTGTCTGGGGCCGCGAACAGCGAGCCTGGCAGCAGGAACAGCTGGTGCAAAGGCCCTGAGGCAGGAACCAGCTAGGCCCCGACTAGGCCCACCGAGGAAGCCTGTGCAGCAGAGGGCAGGGAGGGGTCAGCAGGTGGACGGGGGCTCCGGGCTGCGGGGAGACCGTGTCGAGGGTGGCCCACGACCCTCGCAGCACGTGTTGAGAGGGGGAAACTGAGGCTCTGGCCAGGAGCAGACTCTGCCCCAGGGCTGCAGCCAGCTGGCGCCATCTCCCCTGACCTGTGCCCCCTGCCTGCCCCAGGAAACTGAAATGGGAGGAGGAGGAGGAGGAGGAGGAGGAGCTGGAGGAAGACCTGGAGGAGGACGAGGAGGACGAGGACGAGGAGGAGGAGGACTACGAGGACGAGGAGGGGCTGGGGCCCCTGGGCTCCCCCGGCCTGGGCCCCGCAGCCCTTGTGCCCCGCAGGGCCCCGCTGTCCCAGGCCTTCCGCGGCGACGGCGGGCCGCGGGCGCTGGGGGGCCAGGAGCGTCAGGGAGCCAGCCTGGCCCACGCCGGCGGGACAGCCCACGTGGCGCCCCCGCTGCAGCCGCCCGACCACGGGGACTGGACGTACGAGGAGCAGTTCAAGCAGGTGTGTGCGCTATCGGGGGGCGCCCCGCGGAGATGCCGTGCGGGGGCAGGAGGCCTGAGTGCCCCAGGGGCGTGGGTGGGGGACGCGAGCCGGGCGGCGAGTTCGGGGGTGCGCGCATTTGGGGTGCGTGCCGTCTGCGCCTGGAGGACCCAGACCTGCACGACGGGGCTCCAGGCTGGGGAGCTGCCCAGATGGAGGCCATGCGGCCGGACCCGGCTTGGCGTGGGCTGCGGGTGAGCGTGAGGCGCCGCGGGCGCGAGGGGCAGGGGCGCGGCGGTGCAATCTCGGAGGTCGTGGAGCAGGGTGGCCTCGGCTCGGTGCGCCTGCAGGCGGCTCCCGGGGCTGCGGGGGGCGGGGAGGAAGCAGGGCCGTCCCCCGTCCGGGTGCCGTCCCCGCGGGCGGTGCTGTCCCTGCGGGCGGCCGGGGCAGAGGAAGTGGCCGGGCGGGGGACCCTTTGAAGTTGGGCCGAGCCGGGCAGGGCAGATGGAAACCAGATGGCGTCCGGCCGGGCTCACATTCCAGGCCGCGGCCAGCTGGGCCCTGCCCCGACCTCCGGGAGTGGCCGGCGGGGACCCGGCCTCCCCAGCCCCACGCCCCAGCGTCCAGGGCTCCCTGGGCTGCGGACAGGGCTGGGCCGAGAGCCGGGCAGGGGCTGTGGTGCCCCGGGGCAGCCCCGTCGGGGTGGCCGCCTCCGGGAACTGGCTCTGGGCCCCTTGGGGGGCGCTCGAGGCCGCCCGGCGGGGCCTGGGGGCTGGGCTGGGGGCGCAGGACGGAGGGCGCGGGCTTCCCTGCTCGCCTCGCTTGGGGCACGGCGCCGCGGCCCCGGCAGCCCTGAGAGGTGGGAGTCAGGCTGGGAGGCCTGGGCTGGCCGCTGGGGATGGGGGGCGGGCGGGCTGGGCAGCGGCGAGCTGGCTGGAGGGAGGGACGGCCCTGGTGGCTCGGCTGGGGCAGTGCCAGGGCTGGGTGACAGCCAGCAGACGTCGCCCCCATGGGTGTGGCGGGCACCCCGCACCCCCTCCTGCTGGACACTCTGCCCCTGCGTGGGGACCCCGGGCTGAGCGCGGGCGCCCAGACACGGCCCCACCCTGCTCCCTGCCTCAGTGTCCCTCCTCCAGAAGGGGGCACCCGCCGGGCTGGGCCCCTGCTCGTCATACTTTGCAGGTGGGAGACCTGAACCGTGGCACCGAGGGGGCGGTCTCCAGTGCCTCGCCCTGCGTGTGCCCCCGGGTCAATGCAGCACGTGGGGCGCGGGGCCAAGTTACAGTGACCAGGTCCCTGAATATTTACGGGGGGGCCCAGGGTCGCGGGGTCGGAGCTGGTTGGGATCCCTGACCTCCCAGGCCTGCTCTGTGGCTGCAGCTCCTGGGGTCCGGGAGGGTCCAGCCAGGGTCAGGAACCCCTGTGCCGTGGGGTCTCGGGGTCCCCTCAGCACCTCCTGGGGACGTGGCACCCGGTAGCCATGGGGCAGAGGCGTCAGGGACCCGGCTGCAGGGGGCGGTGGGGGCGGCCTCCTGGGTGTGCCGCGTGGGTCGCGCGTTGCAGGGGTCGGGGAGGCTGCACCTGGCACAGAAAGCGTCCGGGCAAAGGCCCTGAGGCAGGACTGAGTCGGGCGCGTGTGGAGGTCCGGGGACGGGACGCGGGGGCCCAGGCCTGTGGGCGGTGGGGGGCCTGCCCTGCGGTGCCCACGGGATCTCCTTCCTGCCCGCTCGGGGCCGTCCAGCTGCCGGCGCCGCCCCCCCGCCCAGCTGGCCGAGCACCTGCGTGGCGGCTGTCCACGGGCCCCGTGTTGACTCTGGCGCCTGCCCCGCAGCCTTCCTGGCACGTGGCAGCCCCGCCGGCCGGCCGCCCACTTGGCACCGTCGCTGCCTCTTCCTCCCCAGTCTTGGCAGGGCCCGGGCCCGACTTCCCGCAGACCCCGGTGGCCGGCAGGTTCCGCCGTGGCCCACGGGCCCTGGGCCGGCGGGCTGCTGGCCACGGAAGCTTCCGTGGGTCCCCGGGGACGCGCGCGGACGGAGGCCAACACGCCTGCCGCCTGCAGCCAGCGGCGGCGGTGCTGGGGACCTCGGCCTCCTGGCGTCTGACCTGGCGCCCTGGGGACAGCCCGGTGGCCTCCCGTCACCGCGCCCGGGCTCCAGGGGCGCCGCCGGCCCGCGCGGCCGGGACCTTTGGGATCCTGGGTCTCAGCAGGTCGATCGCCGGGAGGGTTTTCAACAGTTTCGTTGGCATCGGACGCACGTGTGCGTAGTTCAGGCACCGCCTCGGTGGTTTTCACGTCTTCACTGACTTCCGCAGGCGACTCCGGTTTATCTTAGGGCGGTTTTGTCGCCTCAGACATGAAGCTTTGTGAACGTACCCATTGCCCGTCACCCCCCCGGCCCCCATGGGCCCCCCCACCCTGAGCCCCCGCCCGTCCTGCACGTGTCACACGCGTGGGCTCACACCCCGCGGGGCCTCCTGTGTCGGGTTCCCTCCCTGAGCGGCGTGGGCTGGGGTCCGTCCCCGGGCGGCGTGGGCGCCTCGCTCCTGCTCCGGGCGGGTGGCTATTTACTCTCCTGGAGACGACACTCGCTTGTTTACACCTTGGGCGCCGTGAGTCGGTGAGCAGGTGTGCACACGTCTGCATACACGCGTGTTCTCTGGTCTTGTGGCCCCTATGCTGGGAGCGGGTCCGCCGGGACGGGCGGTGGCTCCGGGCTTGGCCTCGGGGGGCCCGTCGCCTGCGTCCCACGGTGGCCGCCCGAGGCTCCCGCTCCTCCACGTCCTCGCCAGCGCTTGTGATCGCGACCGTCCCGCCGTCACGGTGGCGCCTCGCCGTGGTTTTCGTTTGTGATGCGTGTCGGGACGTTTTCCTCGTGCCCTTCGAGGTGGCGTCCGTGGCCATGTGCCTCGTGAAGGAGCTCGAGGGCGTGGAGGGGACTGTCGTAGCTGACGCTTGTCACCGCCCGTGCGGGAGGCGGACCGAGCGAGAGGCCGAGTCCAGGGGCTCCCTCAGGGCGACCACGGGCTCCACCGCAGCACCCAGGGGCGCGGGAGTCACGGCCGGGACGTGGCCCTGGGGTGTCCAGGGCAGGCCTGGCGCAGGGACCTGCTTGCTCTAGGGATTGGGGCACCGGGGCCCCGGGCCTCTGGCTGCTTGGTCTGCTGCAAGCCGGCGGGTCCAGGGCCCCGACACGCAGGCGGTTAGCTGGGGACGGTCACCGCGGCCTCCGTCCTCGCGGGGACCCCGTCTGGCCCGAGGCGTCGTCTCCCCGCAGCAGCACAGCCCGTGTGGAGGCGACACGTGGGCCTCAGACGCCTTCGCAGCAGGACGCCGGGTCCCGTGTGGGGCGTGTTTTGGTCCTTTCAGGGCCGTGGGTGTTTCAGCCACGGGACCGACACAGCTGTGCGTCCTTAAGTCTCCTTTTGATTCCAGAAGTGACGCCGTTGTCGCGGGAGGGGAACCGGAGGCGCTGGCCTTCCCCTGGCTGCCTGAGCCCAGGAACGTGCCGTGAGGCGTCGGGGTGCGATGCTCTGGGAGGTGTCGCGCCACGGGTCCGGGTGCCCCCTGCCACCTGGTTCCCCGCAGCGCGCCCGTCTGTCTCCCCGTTGCTCCGCTGGAAACGACACCACAGTGGACGCCGCTGGCTCCTGGGGGCTGGGCCCCGGAGGTGGAGGTGGAGGTGGCGGGGGAATCGCTGGGGCCCGGGGCTTGGGCCCGGCAGGCGTTCCTTCATCCTTCCTGGAGCCCCCGGCGCCCCCAGGCTGCGGACACAGGCACTCCCAGGCCTCAGGGGCCCCGGCTGGGCTGGGGCAAGGAGGAACTGGGGCGTTGCAGGATGTGTAGGAGTGTGCCACATGGTGAGCGCGGGCTGACGCCTGCACCCCAGGACAGTGCGGCTGGGACATAAGGTGGGGGGGTCGGGGTGGGCAGACCCAAGGGCAGAGGAAAGCTGGGCTCCGGGGGGGCCTCGGTGGGGTCTGGAGCCGGAGGATGCTTCGGGGCCTGTGACCCGGGCAGGACCAGGGAGGCCGGGGGAGGGGGTTTTCCTGGGGGAAGAGGGTGTTCTGAGCAGAGGGCACGGCCTGGGCACAGGTTCAGAGGTCAGACCCGAGGTCCTGAACCCGGCGACGCGTGTCCCGTGTGCTTGGGCCAGGGGCCAGCTGTGGCGCGGGGCATCCTGCGGGGGCGCTTGGGGGGCAGGGGCGTCGGGGAGCCCCGGGAACTCCTGCCCACCCACCCCCCCGGCAGTGCCCGCCTCATCAAAGCTGCTGCGGCTGCTGGCGCGGAGCCAGAGGGCCGTGGCGGGCTGGGAGGCTGGGAGGGCGCGCGGCCGCCAGCCCCTGGCACCATGCCCCCGCCCGTGCCAGCCCTGGGACCGCACTGACTCAGCCGGAAGCACCTTATCTGGCCCCTGCGCCGCCACCAGCCGCCCAGTCACCGCCGCGGGGTCACGGCCGCCGGGGCCTGGCCCCACGCCCACCATCCGCTCCCCACCCGGCGGCTGCTGCCAAGCGCCCGGCCCGCCCCACGCTTTCTAATAACACACGCAGCCGCCGGGGAGGGGTGCCCGCGGGCGGGGCGGCCTCGGTCGTCAGCATCCCGTCGGGGGGCGTGGCTGAGCCACTCGGGCTCCAGGCTGCTGCCGCGGCGTGCGGGCGAGGGGGACCCGGGGCGGGCGGGCGCGTTGCCCCGTGTTTCCTGGGGTCTGTGCCCCGCTGAGCCGGGCCGTCCGGGTGTCTGGAGGCCGCGGCCTTACGTCCGCCCGTCGCCGTAGCAGCCTGTGTGCCCCCGTGGACGTGTGCACGAGCACCGCGTGTCAGTCCCCACCTCCCGTGGGCGCGTCGGCGTGTGTCCTGGGGCCTGGACGCGAGTGCGTGCCTGGGTGCCCCGCCCCGTGAAGCCCGAGGTCGAGGGGGACCCGTCGCCCTCAGCCAGACTTGCCGTGGGGTCCGTGGTTTGCCTGGTTGGCTCCGGGCGCAGCTGGGCCTCCGCGCCTGCCCGTCCAGGGACCCCGAGGGGC